ACTCTTCCTCCTTTAATACTTTGTCTGATAAAATATCTTATAAAAGGGTGAGTATGCGAGTAAACTTTTTCTACGTTTTGTTTTTCCGTATGTTTCGGAACCATTCTAGTACTTTCATACCATTCTTCTTCAACCATTTCTTTATCGTAATAATACCAACCCTTTAAAGATAAAGAAGGAGCCGTTAGATTATTGGAAACGTTTTGGAAGACAGTTTTTTTCATGGCTTGATTGTATTTTATCAAACAAGCTCTGAGATATAGAGTATCTCTTTTAGCGTAAGGTTCCCATTCGTGTCTTAAAGATTCCCAATTATCTTTAGTGTATTTTGCAATATTAACATCCTCGATCTTTCTCAAATTCATTGGTAGATTAGATGATTTTCCCCATGCTGCCAAACTAGATGATTCGTGTTGATAGGAACATGTGAAATTAATATTTTGCAAATAATTAGAGTTACCCTTTATTTCTTTCTGTCTTTTCCATTTTTTCTGTAAATATTCATCAGTGAATGAATTAGTTAAAGGTAGAGACAGAATTCCTCTAGCTGTTTTTAAAGGGCATTGTGTTAGTTTTTTTACGTTTTTGATGATGATCCAGTTATCAAATCCACTGCCGTTATGGGAAATTAAGGTTAGTCGTTTCTCATCTACTTTTCCTAAACGTTGTAACATTTGATCTATACAATCTGTACCTACAAATATTTCTACTATATTAGTCATGAGTTTGTTGTAAAATTCTTCTGAAATGGGATCTGACGGCTTAAAATCTAGAGTCTCATTAAAATCACTTAAATCACGTAAGTAATTATTATAATCATCTAATCTTTTCCTCAGTTTTTCCAAATTGACTAAAGTACAACAATAAGGAATGGCTTTATTCGTTTCTTTTTCGCAATAGGTTTCGCAATCCCATGCGTATAAACAATGATCGGGAATGGTTGGAAAAACGTTTAGTTTTAGAAGTGAAACTTGCGTTACCGCATTATCATCTTCACAAGTTCTCCATACGTTTTCATCGTAATTATCTTCTATTTCTTTAATGCCCAAAGCTTTGTTATTTCTTCTTATCAAACAGAAATGTTCTTTGTGTAAATAAAAAACCCAATCTAATTCTTCGGTTACTTTCTTTGGTTGAAAATGTCTATGTTTGGGCATATATATTTGAAAATTAGTATTAAATTTCTTATTGAATTCGCAAATTCTAGCAGTTGTCATAACTCCTTTTCTGTTTGATTTTGAAA